TCCTTTACACTAGAGTTCCTGTCTTGACATCTCAATTGCATGAAATGCAAACATATTTGTTTTTCAATCTTCAAGAGCAATAAAGCAAGCAGCTCATCCAGTGGGGCACACAGAAGAATCTGACATGATTAATCACATGCAATAAATACAGCTGCCTGAATTGAAATCTAGCAGGGTTATTCACAAAAGGGTGAAGAGTTTGGAGAAAGCAGGAGAAGTGAACAATCTAGGACAACATAGCTGAACTGGAAAGTGAACTGAATTGGAGAATTTTTCCAATTCAGTTATTTTGTCCTTGATTGTTCACTTCTCCTCCCTTCTCCAAACGCTTTACCCTTTAGTGAATAACCCTGCATGTTGTTATGTAAAATCTTGCATTGCCCTTGTCATTTGGATAGTTTACATTTGTTAAACAGGATCCAGTGCAATTTATGCAGGTGATTCTGAAATTGTAATTTCATAAATGACTATGATTTGCTCATATAATGCAATTAGAACATTTCTAGCTGTTAAAACTACCAATAATAGCTGACTGACAGCAATACCCTAAACAATTTAAAGACCCAATGGCAAGTTTTACCATAGTTCTTGGAATCAAGCACAAGCTCAGTTAAATACTAGAAGAACCGGTGTGAAATTGTAAAGGTCATCAACTTTTTTATAATTTTTTTTACTATTATTATTATTATGGATTTATATAGCGCCAACAGTTTGCACATTGCTTTACATAATGGAGGCAGACAATACAGTTACAATACAATTTCAGTTCAAAAGGGTTAGGAGGACTCTGCTTGTGAGAGCTTACAATCTAGTAGGAGGGGTAAGTGATACAAAGGGTAATAATTGTGTGGGATAAGTTAATGAAAGAAATAAAGGACAGAAGATAAAGGAAGTTAAAGGAAGAAAGAAGGGTTTTCAAGTATCGCATAGGGTGTTCCAGAGGTTGGGAGACACTCTGGATAGGTCCTGGAGGTGAGTATTGGAGGAGGTGATGAGAGAGCTGGAGAGCAGGAGGTCTTGAGAGGAGGGGAGAGGACGGTTTGAGTGATATGTGAGATGAGCTTAGCGATGTAGCTAGAGGCAGAGTTGTAGATGGTTGTATATGGATAATGTTGTTAGTATTTTGAATTTTATTCATTGGGCAAGTGGGAGCCAGTGGAGAGCTTGGCAGAGAGGGGAGGCTGACACTGAACGGTTGATAAAGTGGATGGCAGCAGCATGTGCAGGAGTGGATGGCAGCAGAATTTGCAGTTACCTCTGTATCAGGAATGATCAGATGAAACAGAGGGTTAAAGTAATATAAAACTCTCAAACGTTTTTCCAATAATGAATCCACATCAAACAAATGCCATATTTTTCGCTCCACAGGACGCACCTGACCATAAGACGCATGAGTGGGAGGGTAGGGAACGCTGGTACTACATGTTTTGTTTAGAGGCAGTGAAACAACTTTATTTACCGCTTCCACAATGCCGCTGCCCGTGTTGCTTGTGTCTAACTTCTGCATACTGAGACTCCTCCCTTTCCATGTCGTGGCATGACACAGGAAGGTGAGAAGCCGGTCAGACACAGAAGTTAGACAGCGGCAGCATGGGCAGCGGCATTATGGAAGAGGTAAATAACGCTGCTTCGCTGGCTTTATCTGGTACACTGTCAGCCCCGCCGCCTCAGTTCTCACACACACACATCACCCTGCGGGAGCCGCTGGACGCGTGTGTGTGACAGCTGAGGCAACAGGTCTGCTGGCGCAGGAGATTGTTGAGACCTGGGGGGAATATTCGCTCCATAAGATGTACAGACATTTTTGCCCAAGCAATTACAGTCATCATGTTTCTGAACAGTTGGCCCTAATTCTCTCAGCTTACTTTGCCTGAACTTCCTGTCCAGTATAAGGTTGCAGGGGACAGCATAGCCTCAAGTAACTGTCCATCTTATAGCATGAAGAAGAGAGGAGAGGGAAACAGGGAGGACAGTGCTGGCTTGTGTGTTTGTGGAGACACACACAGCTTACCAGCACACACAATGATGGCTCCACAGAAACCTACACGGGAAAGGAGCCACTCTAAAACAGGATATCAGGGCCAGTGTTCAGGGGACCAGCTGATTCTGCAGGAAACTAAAACTGTTTTAAACTAAAACTGAGCTAGTATGCTATGTGTGTCTCCACAGGTAATAATTCTAAAATAATACCAGACCACTGGCCCTGATATCCTGTTTTAGGGTGGATCCTTTACCTTGCAGGGTCCTAAAGAGCCACCTTTGTGTGAGCTAGTATGCTGTAAATATCTCCACAAATAATAATATAATAATAATAATTACTAAGATGCTCAAATTCCCACCTAAAGCGCATCTGTCAGAAGCAAAGTTTACTGTAGCACAAATAAATGAATCACGACAATTATCCTGGTACAATGGTTTTTTGCTACTGTATTAAAAAATCATCGAAGCAATTCTGTTCGTCAAACACTCGAGCCATTTAAATCTGTCTGGGAAACTCGAAATGCATTTTGACATTATTCATATGCTGAACAGGTCCATGTGAAGTTCCAGGGCACATTAACACAGGATAACACACAATGTTGATTGTGAAGCTCAGTAACCACAGGCAAGCCGCTTTATCTGTTATCCACTTGCTTTACAGTGCTAGTTTAAAAACACTATGAGCAATATTCTTTTTAACTGATCATGACACCTACTGCAAAACTATGTTACAATTCATTTTTTATATATAATAATATGACAGTTTCTGTCTAAATGTTTAATTTGCACAAAGAGCATATTTTTTTATGAACTACATTACCGCACACTTTAAAATGTTTTAGTATTTAGTAATGTCAGTTCCCAAAGAACACCTTTACATCACCCTTTTAGAGCAAAATAGCAGGTTAACCCACCACTACACTGCTGGTACTTACCTTTCCCACACTCCCCCGTGCTCTGTTTATAAACTGGACCACCTTTGTGTGTGAATAGGGTGGTGGAGTTGTGCACGGGTAAGGGTTTGAAGCAGACGGGGGTGGCTATCAAGCAAACCTGTTGCTTGATAGCCACCCCAAAGTCAAAGTATAGATTGGCTTTAATATACAATTAAATGCAACTTGAAAAGAAAAGAACTTGAGCAAAAAGTATTCATGCATCTACAGTGTGTGTAGTAATATGAAGGGGTTGTTATCTCCTGCAGCCTTATTTCAAGCAACACCAGGACCTAGCCAGCACAGCAGACTATCTTGCCTTGAATAATGATTTCATACAGGCTAATTCAGCAAGGCAAGGAGCAGTCCAGTAACCCCTAGCAAAGAGTTCATCATTCAGTCAGCTTAGTACATTAATGTAGTACAGTTCAGTACAAAAATACATTAATGGGTAATCTAACTGGTTGCTGTAGGATAAACACTTCAGCTTTCCTCTTTGCACTGTTACTAAATAATACTAAACCAGGTTTCCAAACCTCCTTGTGACCTCCCCAATTCTCAAGGAAGATGTGAACCATCGGTACTCTGCTTTGGTTCATTGGGCAAGATACACAATTGACAGTGAAGGGCCCCAGTGCTAGAAATTAAGTGAATGTCTCCTTATCCATGGTTTTTAATGAGACATCTACCAATCTATGGCTAGTCAAAGTGCCATTGAATACTGTACAGAAGGGATGGGATTTCAGATTATACCTGCTAGTAGAGCTGCAGTTAAGATCTTTAACTGTAGCTTCAAATCGTGGGAGTTAGCAGCAGTGGGATACCTGTGATGATACGATATGGTGGGTGAATATTTTTTTTTTCCGTGAATATTTTTTCACAGAAATACCCAAATACCCCACAGCTGTAAGAAGAAATAAGATAATAAGAAATACAAGGATGAATACGGTTTCAAATGATGTGTTGTAATGACCCTGCTATGTATTGAGGCTTACATTTGACGTAGTTTCCCCTCTTAAAAAACGAATTAACTATTTCTACTGAAAAAGACTGTCTACAGTTCTCGCTTTTGTTGGGAGCAAGCTGGGTTTTTTCAGCGCCATCCTGTGGTATCTCAAATCAAAGCAGGACACATTTAAAAAATATAAGGTGTATAACAGCATAACTCTACGAAATAACATATAATAGATGGACATATGCAAAAATAATTCATCTCGGGGATCCTGCTCTACCAGCTGCCCACTTATTTCACTTTTTCTCAAAAGAAAGTTCACATAAAATGTTCAATAAATGCAATTAAAGCCCAACTGAAGAATAAATATACACTTGAAGTGGGCCACCCCCACCCACACTGCAAGGGTTAAAATGTTAATAAAGTCTACGGGTAGAGGGATAAGGACTAATACTTACCTCTCTCCTCCCTCCAGCAGGCTCTGCCCATTTGTGCAACTAGCCCAGAGATGCCTTCTCTCTAAGACACTTCTGGCCACAGCCACACCCCTGCCTCCTCCACATACAATGCAGGGCTGATAGTCCTGCATTGTACATTGTGATGCAGAGGGACTGTCCACAACCCAGAGTGTCAGGGATAAGAGGAGTCCACTGGAGCCTGCTGCAGCAGGGGTTAAGATAAATAATAATACCTCTTGTTCTTACCCTTAAACTTTTCAAGCCTTGGAAAACTCTTGCAGTGTAGGGGAGGGGACACAGCAAATGTTTTTTTTCCCTCCATCCTGAACTTGGGCTTTAAATCCTTAATTAAACATAACAATGTTGTTTCCTGTAGTGTTTTCATTTACAATCTGCCTACTGTCATGTGGAGGCTCCTTGGCTGCAATATGGTGGTTTAGTTGCACTTAATATCTTATTGAAGTTGGCTCAGTTAAAGATTAATTCTAATTGACTGTTATTGGTTACTGAACTTTTCCTGATTAAATACTTCATGCAAGTTTTTCTCTCCCTGCCAAAACAGTAACAGTGTCCTACGACTACTAGCAACAATGCACTATGATCAAATAAACCAGTGTTTTCTCCTGTCCCATTATGTATGAGATTCTGAGCAGAAAAAAAATCAATATATTCACTTACCACACTATTCCCTGAGCCCCAGAGCCTATAGGCTTGAGATTCTGGTAGCGTTTCAAAACCGAGAAGGTCGAGTCTCCTACTTCCACACTGTAGAACTGGTTGTCAACTTTGCTTTTGCTCATGTTGTAATGTTTGGCAATATATGACACATCCACTTGATTACTAAATCCCTATTGAAAAAGGAGAGCAAATAAAGTTTAGTATGGTTGTAAGCAAATGCCTTTCTTTTGCATCAAAAACGAAAATATTTTTGCCTTGCATAAACGAGCATGCTGAATGTCATTTTATATTGTATGTTTGCAACGAATATAATTAACCTCTTTCCATAATGATATGGAAGTCAACAATCCAAATTATGCACAGATGCTGCACAAACATTGTTAGAAGAAATAATCAGATTGTAGAACACATTCAAATACATAATCAGGCATTCATTCAAAATCACGGTGCAATTAAAGTGCAGTTTTGTTGCAGAAAATGTGTGGCAGGGTAATACAATTCACCGAAAGGATCATGAAAATGGGAGGAAAGATTGATCTTATGACATGGTTTATCAAGATGAATGAATGTATGGTTTATGAAATGTGTATTTGAAAGTGATCTTTCTCATTTCAAATGCTATTCTAGCATGCCTATGCATGTTTTCTATCTGATATTAAAGATCTAATATGTTATATATTAGTTCTGAGCACATATATTCTTATTAAATGCCATCTACTTGTCAATATTGAATGTAATCTAATTTTAACCTTTTGTCCTTAAAGAATAAACCACTTTGAAAATATTTGGTTTGGGCCACTTTAGGGTACACTTCTCTTAAAAAGTGTGAAATTCTCCATTGTCCTTGGCGCTTTCTCTCACCGCTGCCATCACCACCACTGACACTGTTCATCCTCTGTACAGTGTACACAGAAAAAAAAAATCGCTAGGAGAGAGAGGAAGAATTATTTCACCAGAAGAGACTTTGCATTTCTCTTCGGCCAAAAATCCATATCTCCCAGCAATGTTTTATTTTTGGTGTGGTGTTATCATCACTCTTTTGTAGTTACATCACTTAAAAATTGTATGTGTGTTATCACCCTTCCGAAGTATTTACTTAATTTATTATGTGTTTTTTTTTTTTTATTGCACATAATTTACACATTAAAACTGTAACCTTGACATCTTAATATATTATTTGTACTGCTCTCAGAAAATCAGTACATCTAGGTTCAACAAACATTTTATCGCAACAAGGAAAAAGTTAACTTAGATTGAGCACTGAAAATCTAGCTGTTATAAAAACACACACTTCTAAGTCAAAAGTTACTTCACAGGGCTTCAAAATGTTTTACATCTTATTATTTCCTTTAAATACGGTTGATCAGAGCAATGCAGACATTATGGAGCTGATAAATGTTGATTAACAGCCAACTCCACATTGATTTGTTAGAAAAATGTCCCTACAATAAGGCTGACTACTTGTTTCCTTGAACAGACAGAAGGAAATTGTTGTGCGTCTGTTTGGTCCATTGACCTGGCTAGTTGCATAAGAAATAGTGTCTGGTCTTCCACCTGGCCACTTTAGCTTGACAAAGTATTTGTAGTTAGTACTAGAGATGACTGAATCAGAATTGCCATTTCAGCACGGTCAGGGTGCATCAGTCAGCAACCATAGTGCAGCTTCTGCCCGGACCGCTGCACGCTATGGGCATGCGCGTATTCGGCGTGTTGCCGCTAGTACTGCGCATGCATGAAAACGTGCACATACGCGCGCAAAAACGTACACACGCATGTCCTTGGCGCCAGGCGGGCTATTTAAAGATGGCTCCTGCATCTGCCCTTTGCTGAGAGATCTTCAGCTGTAACCTGCATCTGTGTTTCTGCTCCGGATACCTGTTTAACCCAGCTTGTTTCTTGACTCTGCCTGCTTGCTGCCTGCTTTGTGACCTCGGCTCGTCCCTCCCCATTCTTCTGCCTCCTGATCCGGTACCATTATGCTCGCCAGTGTATGACCCGGCCTGTTCCTGACTCTGCTTCTGTCACCTGCTTTTGTACCACGCTGACCGCACGTTACCGATCTGGCTTGTCCCTGACTACGCTTCAGCCTCTCACACAAGTGTTGTCTGATCTGCCATCTTCCACCAGCTGTTTCTAGCGTCCTGTTGTCAGCATCAGCACATCCAGTGTGTCCAGCAGTCATACCCTCCATAATAGAAGTCACCAGCACTCGATGATATGTGCAAGAAGTAAAGCACTTTTTATTCAATCATCACATGCATCAAACAGCCAACGTTTCGGGGCCCCCGCAGGGTCCCTTCTTCTGGGTGACATAGTGACAACAACAAGTATGCACCTTCAGCTTAAATAGTGAATCACACAGAATACACCACAGAACCTCCCCATGACGTCATACTGACGTCAAATCCCACCAGAATTTGAAAGCAAAAATTAGCATATAAACAGACAAATAAAAAAACCAACCAACTTGCCTGAACAATGTTAGTAACACTGACTTACTGTGCCCAGCAACTATTGAACAGTGGCAGCAAAAGAAAACAGCACAAAAACGAAAAAAGAAACAGAGAGGCTGTCAGTGTCTGTGAAGATGGATTGCTACCACGTCACTGGTTTCCGGGACAACTGCGGCAGCGCAGTGGAGGCGGGAAACCACCACACAGTGAGAGACAGTACTGAAGCTCTGGTGTCTCTGGTTGCTAGGAAACCGTCCTTCATAACAACCGCTGTCCTGGAATGCAGTGAGGGGGAGGGCACAGAGGAACAGAAGAGGATGGAGGGGGAAAAGGCTGGGGAGGGAGAACAAAAACACATAGGGGTCTATTCAGTAAGCGGCCCAAGGATCTAGCCGTAGCTTCGGCTGATCCTTCGGCTAGTTTCGGCCCCAGGACCCCTTCGGTTCAGTAGAACCGAATGGCTGCTGTACGGGCTATTCACTACAGCCCGTACAGCTCCCAAAGTCGGCCGAGCGGCTCAGTAGAGCCGAAGCCTGCTTCTGACAGCTGGGCGGAGCCAACCGTCATCTCACGGCTGGCTCTGGCCACTTGCAGATAGATCAGCCACCTCTCATTACTCTCCTGGACACTCTGAGAGTCTAACACGGCTCCCGGCCGCACAGGAGAGAAACACTTTCTCCTGGAAAGTTCACGTTGCAATAGCCAATAGCAAACTAGCTATTGCACAAGCTGTCAATCAGCAGAGGGAGACCTGCAGTTCTCCATCAGGTCCCCCCTGGTAATTGACAGCAGCAGAGGGCAGGTGCAATAGCTAGTATGCTATTGGCTATTGCAAAGTGAAATAGCCAATAGGAATCTAGTTATGCATTCCTATGGTGTTTTTTTTTAAATTTATACTGACGGCAGCAGAACTGCCCGGCCAATAGAAAACAGTTGGGCGTAGCTAACTGTCACTGCTAGCTCCGCCCAATCGTTTTCTATTTGATTTTTTCTACTTTTTTAACTGTTTTTCTATTCTGTTCGGTACCACAGAGGCAGAATAGCCGAGCCGAATGCCGCTCAATGGCATTCGGCTATTCACTCACTGCTGTTCGGCATCTATGAGAATAGGCCGAACAGCAGCGAGTAGCCTGCCGGAGGTTCGGCTTAGCCGATCCAGATTTTTATTTTCCCCTTATCTGTCATCTGTCATCCCTTGTCATCTGTCATCCCTTGAGAACATCTGTGTGACGAAACGCGTCGGGGGCAGGCCTACCTTTGCGTCATTGTTCCAGTCTTTTTGCACTCAGGTTGAGTGACTAGCCGGCTTTCCACGTTGATTTTTACTGATTTTATGTAGCGCTTCTTTGTATACACCATATTATATAAATTTTTTGGACCTATTAAAGTTGAACTTATTACTCTATGAGCGCATCTTTCGTGTTCTTTGTCCGGATGGATATCTAACATAGGAGACCTAATAGTAAAGATCGCAATCCCTTCATCTCGGAGAAGCAAACGGGTTCTGTATCCTGAGGCTTTACCAAACGGGAGATGACAGATGACAGATAAGGGGAAAATAAACATTTAGTGCTGTACATTTTGTTGCATCATTATATACCCCTATGATCTTACTTAAATGGAGCATAGTGTTACAAAAACACAACATAGGGTGTGTGTAAAGAGCATTTTTCAGCATTGACACCCTCATGATCCCTATGTACGCAAACCCTTTAGATTTTTAGCCACTTTAACACACACCCTGATTTTATATTATTTCATATCATTATTCATTGGTTCATAGTTTTCATATTTAGTTTTTGTATAATGGTTTTTTATCACCCATAGGGTCCTATGTTGTGTTTTTGTAACACTATGCTCCATTTAAATAAGATCATAGGGGTATATACTTTGTGCCTGTCATTGATTCTATGGGGTCTATTCACAAAGCTGCCGAAGGATCTGGCCGTAGCTTCGGCCGATCCTTCGGCTGGCTTCGGCCCCAGGACCCCTTCGGTTCAGGAGAACCGAGGGGGTGCTGTACGGGCTATTGTGAATAGCCCGTACAGCTCCCGATCACGGCCGAGCAGCTCAGTCGAGCGCTGAGCCGTGCTGAAAGCCGAAGCTGGCCGAGCGGCCGGCCATTGGCTTCTGACAGCTGGGCGGAGCCAGCCGTGATCTTATGGCTGGCTCCGGCCACTTTCAGAAAGATCAGCGTCCCTGGTTGCTAACCAGGGACACTGATCTTCAAACATCTAACTCTCCCTGGTGCCCCGGGAGTCTCCTGCTCCCGGCCGCCAAGGAGAAAAACCCCGCTGTGTCTTTTTTCTTTATTCTGACACGAGCATGTCAGAATAGAGAAAAAAAAAAAAAAAAAAATTCCCATTCAAAAGCATTGGGACATTACTATTGGCTATTTCAATTTCAATAGCCAATAGTAAACTAGCATTGTACCCGCCCTCTTTTTCAGTTCCCCATCAGGTCCATCAGCAGAGGGCGGGTACAATGCTAGTTTACTATTGGCTATTGCAAATTGAAATAGCCAATAGTAAACTCCCAATGCTTTTGAATGGGAATTCGTCTTTTTTTTTCTGTTTTCTGACATCGCTCGTGTCAGAATAAAGAAAAAAAAAGACACAGCGGGGTTTCTCTTCTTGGCGGCAGGGAGCGGGGGGCTCCCAGAGCACC